ATGTAGCTCTGAAAACCATTTAGCATCTGCTTCACACTCCACACAAGAGTTGTCAATGGAAACCAGAGTTAGTGTGAAGCTCAGACAGTGTGAAGGACACTTCAGAACATCAGCCTCTGTGGACGGAGGACAAGAAAAACATCCTAGCTCGCTCTTAGCAAAAAAATAAAGCAAAACTAACTTTGCAGTCCAACACATTAAAGTCATGCAGGAAGTCCAAAGGATGTTGGGAACATATTTTTGCTCAGAGGAGACCAAGATACATTTTTTTAGGCTCAGAACGTTTGGTGTGAACCTGACCAGGACGACCACAGTGAACGCATCGTCCTGACGGTGAAGCACGGAGGTGGACGTGCGACGATGTGAGGTGTAATAAGAGCAAAAGGTGACGTTCACGACTGTGGATAAACCAACATACTGGCTGACTAGACGAAGCCCAGTCCGGAGAAGTTTAAAGAAGAGGAATATTCCATCCAAAGAACAAAACCACACGAGAGTTTCTCCACAAGAACAAAGCGAACTCCGACCTGGACGAGAATGTTGCCCGACAGGATTTCAGTAAAACACCTTTGGGGGAATTTCAAAGAGAAATGTAGCGCAACGCAACCCTTCCAGCAAAGAGCAGCTGAAAAAATAGCCTCCGAGGAATGACAAAAATGTGGTATCCTCGATTCAGGAGGAGGACTGAAGAGACAAAACTAAAGCCGGCACGTGAGGTATTGAAGAAATAAGAGGTTTGAATCTCAGTAATGACTTTTATTCCGACTGCGGAGGCTGTATTTTAATAAAATACATCTAAACTGTTAGTTTTTAATTTGATATGAGAGCAAATGTCCTTCTGATCCCCTTAGAAGTAATCTGACGACTGTTAAGTGTGCAGTTTTGAGTTATTTGACTTAAAACAGATAAATTCTGTTGCATACTTTACACTTAACAGCATTAAAAAACCACTCAAATAGTCAGTGTTTTAACAGTTTAACTCCTGTACTGTATAGAAGTTGTCCGTTTTGGTGCCTTCGATGCACTTTTTGGCACATTAGCTCCGCCTGGCTCAGTGGAACGGTGCGAAACCATCGGCATGGCTGTAAAAACGACATTCCTATACAACTCAACTGTTTTCCCAGTTGGCATTCACAAGCAGCAGCAGCTCTTTCTTGCATGAATGAAGCACAACATGGTACGAACTGCGTCAGAGTCAGCAGGAGGTGGTTGGGGTGGATGGTGGGCGCACAGAGCTCGTACCATCACAGTCCTGGGTGCACATCCAGGTTGAGGCGACAAAGGCCCTTTTTTTTTGAGAAAAAACATGATTAAAGGCATCATGTGTGAAGTCTTAGTTTGACCAGACCACGATCTTCTCCNAGGAGGAGGAGGAGGAGGAGGAGGAGGAGTGGAAGTCCGCGCAATATCTAATCCACAGAAAGCGGAGTTCATTCAGTGTGCATGCCGGAGTCCTGCACTGTTTCTCCCGCACGGTGCGAGTCTAGACACCCGCACAAAGAGCCGCATCACAAAAAAAAAAGTTAAACTAAAAGCAAAAAAAAAAAAAAATTACAGGGGGGCGCTTCTTACCTAAAATGGCCACTGCAGCAGCCAAAACACAAACAGCTTTTTTTTTTTTTTTTTTTTTTTATTTGGTGGAAGTTTAGCGGTGTGCTCGCGCTCGCCTCTCTCTCTCTCTCTCTCTTTCTCTCTCTCTCACGCGCTCTCTCTCTCTCTCTCTCTCTCGCTCTCGCGCTGCAGCCAGCCTAACCTGAGCCTCGCATCCCTCCCATTGGCTGCAGCCTTGGCGCAGCTGGCTCCGTGCACGTTTCCATTGGCCCCGCAGCTGTCACGCAAAAGCGGAAAAAAAAAAAAAAACCCCAGCGAGTCTGTCCCGGGTTTGTCTGAGAGCTATCGCGGCAGCCCCAGGCAACACCATTGTGTATTGTGCGTTTTTGTTGTTGTTGTTGTTTTGTGCATGGATGTGCGCATTTACGCACGCCGCCTGTTGTGCTTGTTTTGTTTCCCCCCCTCGCTCTCTCTCCCTCTCCCTCTCGCTTACCGCAGACTTCTTGCAGGGAAATCCTCCTCTTCTTCTTCTTCTTCTCCTCTTCCCACCGCACCGACCGGCTCCTGGCTGCTGCTGTCATTGAAGGGAAAAGCCAAGAAAGAAAAAAGAAAGAGGGGAAAAAAACACACAACAAGAGAGAGGCGAGCAGCAGCTTTTTCAACACCCCTCCGATGCAACAAAACCAACGGGGTTTACATTTCTCCTCTGCTGCCTGCATCCACCAATCGTGTCGCTTTTTACTCCTCCATCATTACCGGGTTTGAAGGGCGGAAGAAAGAAAAGAAAAGGAAAAAAAAAAAANTTCACATTTCCAGTTCAGTGCGACTTGTATGTGATCTGCTGTGTGAACTTCATACGACCCAAAAGTGTCCCGCATGCGCAGAAGAGGACACGACGACGTCACACGCAGCAAGCGTGCTCAGTGTTTATGAAAGTAAACATGGATGGTGGCGGTGGTGCGTATCTTGTGATTTTAAAGTAGTTGTCCAACCAGAGCCAGCACATTTACAATGTAATCACCGTGGTGGTGGTATTTTATCGCCCCCTTCCGCCACCACAGCCCCCGATGGTGGAAACAGAAGTGTGAGCGCTAACTAAACTAGCATCAGCAGCCAAGTACTGCCTGTGTGTTCTGGTCACTTCCACTTCAGAACGCTTCCTTCAAGCATCAAGCCCTCCTTGTATCTCAACCTCCGTCTTGACAATCCGACAACCTTGCTATCTGACATAAAAGAAGGTTTTACGTTTAGTGTCGGATTATCGAGTCACGACTGTACCTTGAAGTCATTATTTGTCTCTAACATGCACAAAAACACTTTAGGAACGTCCTCACCAGAGGCTTTGCGCAGCCAGATGTATCTCCACAGTCACGTCAGTGTTGTAGAACAGTCTGACTATAACTAACTTCATCCCACAATCAGGTAATCAAAGTTTCCAGACTGTCTGTACTTCGGTAACCCAATCACGATCTTGGGTGTTGCAAAGCCCAGGATGCAGTGATGGTGCCCCTGCAAAAAAGAGGTCACAATAGGAATTGTCTTGCCTGAATATTTGGACAAAGGAAGGCGAGTGCTGCCATTCAAATGACTAATTCATGAATGAACCTCGTTGCACAATCCTGAAAGGCTGCAGTTGTTTCCTGTGGCGATGGGGATTTTGAAAACAAGAAAATAGCAGGTTTATACGTGCAGTCTACATCCGCTGAGTCAGACTATTATATCTGCTGCTGAGCTCATACATGCACAGATGATTTAAAAAAAAAAAAAGCTTTATCTGATGAAGAAGAGAATGAAAAAGGCCTGGAAAAGCCCAAAAGGTGTAACCGAAGTCGAGAAAAGCACCATTGTTCTTCGCCCCTGAAACTCTAAAACCACCCGTTGAAGCAAAGTTCGGAGCGAACGCCACCACCGTCTCATTACCGTCTCCGGACCGGCCGATCTCACGTCTCTGGTTTCCTTCGGGTTCACAGCCTCAGACGATAATCCTGCTCGCTGCGTGCGGTTCACTTTGACAGAATCTCTGAGTGCTGAGGTCTGAATTTTTCAAACGCTTATCTCTTGCTGCAGGTTGCCGAGTTGTCTGCAGAAACTTTGACACGTCAGGAGCAACGTGCCGTTACCTGGCCGGTGTTTTTAGCGACATGCAGTCGTTGTTAATTCGGTTACAGGGAGTGTTTCTGACCCGTTCTGCGTGTTGCAGTGAGACCAGCGCTGTTGCAGGTCAATCACTCCTTGTATGGAAGAAAAATCTCACAGCGGTGAACCTCATAGAGCCTCAGAAACCTTCTTTCTGCATCAGCGGCGTCTGCTGCTAAATTGGACGTACATGTTAACCGCCAGGCGGTTTTAATAAACTTAACAAAACGTTGCTTCGTGAAATTAATTCTTGTGCGTGCATTGTCTGAAGAGCAGCAGTGAATAATGGGAAAACCACTCGGTGAAGTTGGAATTTTATTAAAATGCTTCCTCTTGAGCGATTTTAACATCAGGACGCTGCGTGACTCTGCTTTTTTGGCTTCTCGGGCATAATTTAACAGTTTTGTTGGAACACATACGTATTTTATCCCTCACTGTGCTGCATTCTAGGTTTTCTTATTAAACTAAAGGGTTTTTTTTGTGTGTGTGTGTGCATTGATTCAGTCGTCACTTTACATTCTTTTGCAGCAGCACCACACATTCAGCAGCAATATCATACCATAAAACTACAGCATCAAAACTTAACTTCAAAGTACATTTTGCAGGTGATTATTGAAGTTAAAGTTTAAAAAAAGCTGTGAGTCAGACACAACATAAGAAAAGACCAACATTTGGCACTTTGAGGGACCAAATTTTTTTCTGCATAATTTAAGGGTTTTTTAGTTGGAATACATACTTAATTTATCCCTGACTGTGCTGCATTCTAGATTTTCTTATTAAACTAAACAGATGAGAAAAGGTTTTTATTCCAGGAAACTGTCTGAATTGTAGAAATCTGTTTTTCATACATTGATAGTCTTCATTTTACATGGTTTTGCAGCTGTAGCAGACATACAGAACCATACTATAAAATGACAGCATCAAAATTTACCTGCAAAACGCACTTTCATCATCCATCCATCATCTATACACCGCTGAATCCTCACCAGGGTCATGGGGGGCTGGAGTCTATCCCAGCTGACTCAGGGTGAAGGCAGGTTCACCTGGACAGGTAACCAGTCTATCACAGGGCTACACTTAGAGACAGACAACCAAGCACACTCACATTCACACCTACGGACAATTTGGAATCACTAATTAACCTCAGCATGTTTCTGGACCTTGTGGGAGGAAGAACCCGGAGAGAACCCACGCTGCACGGGGAGAACATGGAGACTCCACGCAGAAGGATCCCAGGTGTCCTCACCGGGACGTGAACCGGCAACGATGCTCACCACCGATCCACCTTGCAGCCCTACTTTGATTGACAAAAGTGAAAATATTCACCACAGATTGTGATACCTGGTGCCTTCAGAGAGCCAGATGTTGTTGTTTTCTTATGCATGACACAACTTTTTAGGGTTCTTCTGCATGATTTGACAGTTTTTATTTGTTGTTTCTGTTGGAGTATTTTATCCCTCACTGCGCTGCATTCTATGTGTTCTTATTAAACCAAACAGGTGAAAAAAGGCTTTTATTCCAGGAAACTGTCTGAATTGTAGAAGTGTATTTCTTGTACATTAACACAGTCTTAACTTTACATACAAACAGCAGAAATATCAACATTTACCTTCAGTAAGTTCCTGCAAAATGTCCTTGAATGACCAAAATTATCCGTATTCACCACAGATTGTAAAGTTTGCTCCCTCAGAGTGCCGTATCTTAATGTTCTCTGACGTTTTACACACAATAACAGTTTGTCTGCACAAGTCACCATCATTTTGGAGCAACGAAATACCAAAAACAATACGTTTTGTTTGGCCTCGAGTGCAGCGTCGTTGCTGCAACAAGTCAGAACATTCCTGTCAAATCCCAGCACACACAAAGGTTCGGCACGCTTTTAGTCTGAGCAGGTTTTATTAGCGAGTTTACTTCCTACAGATAAAAGGCAAAACGCACCCAGGTGGGTAGAAAACACCAGCAAACTATGATTGCTGCTGCAATGTTCATCAAAGACACAAAGAGGAAGCTCAGTGCTAAAAACGTGGTTGGTCAGTGGCTAATAACACCAGAGTGAGTGTAAATGGATTAGTTCTTGCTGCAGACAACAGAAAGTCTGCATCCGTCTGGTAGATGGAGAAGAAGGTGAGAGTGACGTAAACAGTCTGAAGAATAACACGTTGTACTTTGTTCTGATACTGAGACATTGATTTTTGCCGGCACCTCGCAGGAGGCTGAAGTAGAAACGTCAAACTCAGTAGGTGTGGATGTGTTTGTTAACCTTCAGCCTCACCTGCTGCTGCTGCTGGATCCAGAGACGGGAAGTTTCTGTTTTGGTGCAGACATCTTTCAGCGATTGAAATTACAACAGTGACCCGAACAACGTGGGGAAGGTAATGCTGCACGACGCCTGTGTGTGTGTTTGGAAATAAACATGACAATATCTGAAGTGCAAGTGAAGCTGGAATAAATGTAGAATTAAGCCTCTGAGCCTCCAAAACCCACCAGCAGACTCAAAAGGTATAATAATAACTGTGGAACAATAAATCAGAATTACACCATTTATCAGAACCAGAAACTGCAAAACAGTGTCACAACCTGGCTCAAAGTGTGTGAGCCTAAAGTGTGTGTCTGCAAATTATGACATGTTTAATGGAAAACAATAAGTCAATAATACAAAAAATGTGTGTTATCAGTCAATCAGTATGTCTGCATTGTTTGGGTGAGTGAAAGGTGTTCGCCAACGTAGGAAACCAAGAAAACAACACGATGGCAATCTCTGTCAGCAGGCAAAAGGAAGAGAAGCTCCTACAGATCTCATTTATAGCCTCCGAGTCCCTCCTACTCAGGTGTGCAGCATCAC